ATGGACCGCAGGGGTTCAAACTTTGAGACCTAGAACTGAGATTAGTGGTGCAATGAGACGTGAGAACTTAGAAAAGTGATTTAATCTATCTGAATTTAATTACTCTCAGTTTTTTCCTCATTACCAAATCATAGCTAATAAATCTCTGCTCTGACAACTTTGTAACGTAGCTGTGAAATTCAGAAAGTAGCACTGTGTAAAACTACAAAAAAGTGTGCAGGTCCTCGACCTGTAAGGTTAAACCAAGTGAAACTGTCAAGATCCACCTGTTTTTACCTACGGGACTGGCAATTTCAAACAAATACCCCGGACACGTGAAGGATTTCTAAATCAAACCTAGAAATACGGTCTAAACCACACCTAATGATGAGGTAGAGATGTATGTATTCTGCTCTTTCTTCCATCGATAATGCTCAAAATACTGCTTGCTTCCCCTGCAGATATGCAATCTGAGGAAAAACTATCAATATTCTTGAAGGAAGTTATAGCCAAATGAGCTTAAAGAGGTAAAACTTCGTATTCAAACCACAAGGATAAATGCCAAGTGGTGCAGAGACCTAAAAGCGGGCAAAGACGCTTGCTTTAGTGTTGTTATAACTTTCTTAACTAATGAAGCCGACGAAACATTGCCAAGAGCTGTGTCTTCCAAATACGATTCTCATCTTCGTGTTATTATAAACTGGCCATGAAATCAAAGGTGTAGTTCACGGGGCCTCAGTTTCCCCAGCTGTGGTATGAGATTAAAACTATGACCTTGAAGATCCCACTATGCTCCCTCTCTGACCTGCATTACTGATAATCTACAATCATCAAGAAATCTCAAGGAGAATGAAAACCCTAAGGGCTCCTCGGGATGTCACATATTTGTATTATGATTAAAATAAATCCATCAGTAGAAACTAAAAAATAATTTTCCAGGGGAAAACAAGAGTTCGGCTAAGTAGAATTTTCACAAAATGATGTTGGCCTGAGATCAGAGTGGAAGCCAAGAAGGAGGATAAACTATAGGAAAAAACGAAAAAGCAATACTATTGGTCCAAAGTGCACACATCAAAAGATTACTCCAAAGGTCTCAGGCAGCTTCTCCAAAGCTGTCTTAAGAGTTACTTTCCCTTGAAAATGTGAAGGTAAGCAGTCTAGTGTCAAGAATGGGTCCAGTTTGTCTCCCATTAGATTCTGGCTTCTATTAACATAACTTCAGATGTTTATTCCCATGTGAACAAATCAACTAAAATCAAATTTCTTTGTAAATGGTATAAAGCCTACTCATATCTGTAACAATTTGATTCATAAGAACTCAGTGTAAAATTTAACCTCCATAAAGCCTATGATCATGAAGGTAACTGAAGGGATTTTTGAAAAAGGAAAACCATGCATAAATGAAAAGCAAGCAGAGAGAAAACACACAGTGAAAAACTAAAAGAAGTAATTCAACTGAAAATATTTTATTGCTGCTTAGTAGAAACTGTATATTTCCTTCCCTCTAATTTTTCTGCTACTAAAAAGAGAAACACAAAATTGATCCCTTACCAGCATAAAATCGTTCTGTATTTTTGGAAAGGAAATCACAGGCTATTATAGGCATTCTCTAACGTGATTTATTATTTTCAAATGATTGTCAGGGAATCAGATTTCCATTTTTCTTTGTCTAGTCATTCATGCTCTTTCTTCGAGATTTGCATGAAAATAAGAGAGTCGGGGGAGGGAGAATAAAACTCGGGAAGAACACAGCAACTGGAGAATTTATATAGACATTTATCAATCGTTGGAGACCCGTATAAATGTAACAAAGGCAAAATCAGAACAAATGTCTGTATTTTGCAAAGATTTCCTTTTGCAGTCTGTCACATTTCTATGTACAAATCATCACATTGAAGTTAACTGTTGTATACTGGGAGGTAACAACTTGAAAACATGCAATGTTGCTTTTAAATGGATACCCCAGGGACCCATGAGGCTCTGTTCCCTCACTATTTATCTGTGGCTACACTTGCAAGAAAGGGACAATATGTTTCTAATATCTCTCAGGCTTTTTAAAATAACAATTTTAATATGCATTTTCTTCTTTGATGAAATAGACTGCTTTACAAAATAATTTCCCTCCAGAGCAGTGTCAGCCACTCCGACTGAGCCCTGGATAACTCATCCCCTGCGAACACAGGGTTATGTATGCTTATGTCAACAAACACAAATTGCCCACGTCCCCGACTGACTACAGTGGATCTTCCTGCTTAAAAATCTCAAAAAGTATGACATGAAACCATTCCTTTTATTGTGTGATCGAGAGGAATTGTTTCAAATTGTCCTATTAATTTAAACAATGAGCAGAACGAATTTCCAGAGCTTTCTTAAGATTCAAAATGTGGTCTGGTTAGGAATTCACCCGTAACAGGTCTCCAGTAAAAGTTTGTTACATGAATCAACTCAACCATAGCAGTCTTAGGCGATGATACGATTTCATCATTAACCATACTTGGTGTCTGGATGGACATGCCTAACTTTCTCAGAAAAAAGAGATCTCTGTTAAAGGCTGTCGTTTTGTTAGATATTGAAATACCATTTTATAAATCACTGTGTGCTTTTCTAAAACATCTCCATGCCTCTCTACTTTAGGATACACATATTAGCTTCCAAATATTCCTATTAAAAAAAAAAATCTAAACCATGGGGTGCCTGGATGACACAGTCGGTTAAGTGCCTGACTCTTGGTTTCAGCTCAGGTAGTCAGGATCTCAAGGTCTTGAGATTAAGCCCTATGTCTGGTTAAGTTTCTCTCCCCCTCTCCTTCTGCCCCTCCCTCTCCTCTCTCCAAAAAATAAATAAATCTTTGAAAATAAATCAAAGCCTTGAGAGGCCGTGAAGGAAGATCCACCCATCTGCCTAGAACAAAAACTGGCAGACTACAGTGAATGGGCTACACCTGGCCCACAGGCTAAGAATGGCATTTATGTTTTTAAAAGTGTGAAAATTCAAAAGAAGAATTCTTTCATGATACGAAAATGATAGGGAATTAAAGTGCAGTGTCCATGAAAAGCACCAGCCACTCTCATTCATTTACACACTGTGGTTGATTTTGTGCCAAGAGGCAGAACTAGGTAGCAAGTTACAAGAGAACATATGGACCCAAAAATCAAAGATGTTTACTACTGGTGTTTCACAGAAAAAACATTTTGCCAACCCCTGTGCTAAATGGCCAGATTTTCTAAGCCACATCATTTAATAAGTATCAATTTGGTCTGACAGTTCTTCTCCTGTTAGCTGGAAAAAAGACAGGGAAGACTACCACAGAGTAACTATTTCAGCATGATATGTGGCTATGTAATCCTTCTGAGGTCATTTTGGCTGAGCCAGACATTTCCAGAGTGAACTAGAGGCATTTGGGGAGTGTTTCTTAATACCATCACATGTATATTTCCCTCTTAAGAGAGAGGCACTTAGCCTCTCTTGGTCTGTAAATGATATTACTGGTCTGTTTCTTTGATCCCTGCTGCAAGATTTTACAAAGAACTAAATCAGTTTTACACTTGAATATATTAACATATATTTCCTTCTGATATCCTAAAGAATATATAGGATTTGCATTGGGAACTCTGTCTGCAACCCTGCGTTCTCATTCTCCTTTGGAATACTTTGTGTCCCCAAGAAACCTTCTGATTAAACTTCCCACTCAGCCTTACTGTAAAACCTTATAATTATGATTTGCAAAACTTTCATGCTCAAAGTAAATGGTGAGATCCCTTCCAGGCAAATGAGGTCTTAAATGCTCAATGAGCCTGAAGTCCTTTAAGGGAGCACAAACTTCTTTTCCACCGCTCAGCTGCCTATCCCGTACCCTAGAGCCAGCAGGTGCTCAGAGGATGCCTCCAGAGTTTCACAGATGCAGTCCAAGTCCTCGACTGCATTTATGCTGATTAAAAAGAGGATGAGGAGCCCTCTTTCTTGTACTTTCCGTCGCTATCTCTCTATAGCAGCTATTAATGTATCAGAAAATAACCATTATTTAGTGTTCATTTACATTTCTACTGTAAAAGGCAAGATGATTTTGGCTTCGTTTCTTTTTGTCTGAAGAGTAGAGTTGAATGTCCGAATTACTTAAATGGGCCTACAATGTATACATTTTACATTATCTACAGAGACTCTGCCAATATTTCCAGTATAGACACTTAAGCTAACAAGTGATCATTCTTAACCATAGAAGGGTTAAGACTCAACAGAGTCTTGATTTGACAACTTTCCTTTCTCCCATAAGAGCTATTCTGTTCTGATTAATCATAAAACAGTTCATATCATCAAAGATCTAAGAGTCAAGGTAAAAATTAACATATAAATATATAACATATACATTGCACAGAGATAATATGGTTGCAAAATCTGGCCCAATTTATGTAAAAACATATTGCTGGAAGACAACAGGGAACAGAGATGCTAAGAATGGCAAGAAGATGCTACTTTGCCATCTGGCATCCAGACAGTCTCCCCATGAGCATGCACTTGGTCTCAGAATCCTCGACGGAGAACTCCAAGGAGTCACTTCCAATAAAACCTATGTGCTATCCCCAGTCTACAATGGTTCTCCCAAAAGTGGACTGTGTGCCTCCCAGGCAAGGTACAGGACAATCCACTGGGATGAGGGAAGGTTACATGTTGTTAAATACACATGTGGTTAAATATACACATTACGACTAGAGGAGAGCGTATGCTCAGAATTCTTCTATTGACAGATGTGTATGGATGCGGGGTAGAGGGAACAAACTGTGTTAGCGTCAGTCTCTTTGTAATTCACCTGAAATGTTTTAGCTTCAATTTCAGAAGCTAGGTGGAACCTTCTCCAAGCTATGGAAAGAAACCCAGAAGGTTGTTGAAACTCCAAAGGAGTCACCTGTGGTGTTCTGCTGTCTCACGACTTGTCTTCTACGTCACCCACCCATCACCCCATTTCTGACCGGAATGAACAGTCACTCTTACTCACGCCTCCTGAAAGGACACATCGACACACTCACTGTTTCTGAAGTAGATGCTGGTGTTGCTGCTGTTGCTGCTGCCTGTAGGTCTCAATCGTGTGCTGAGGCAGATACTGCATGAGTTCCAGAGACTCCTTGATCTTGAGCAGCATTTCATAGGTCTCACGGCCCCTCACCTGCGTGCAGAGCGTAAGGAGAGAGAAAGGAAAGATGAAGAACTCTAGAATAGTCAGTAGTACTATCAGTCCTCCTTATCTGTGGACTCAGTATTGCCAAATTCACCTGCTTGCTAACATTCATTTGTAACAGAGAAACCAAGACTCACGACGCTCTGTGGCCTTTCACAGACTCACACGGGGGACACATCGCAGCTGCTCAGGCATGTGCCCAGCTCTGATGAACAAGGGCATGCTGTCTTGTTCCAGCTTTCGTGTCACAACAAGTGTCCTTTCCTCGGTCTATTCAGCACCACATTTTCCACGTTTGTGTATGTGTGTTTTTATTGTTGTTGTTTTTTGTTTTTGTTTTTTGGGTTTTGTGGGGTTTTTTGGGGGGGGGTTGTTTTTTTGTTTTTTGTTTGTTTGTTTTTTGGTGAACCTGCTCTTTAAACTGCTCCCCAAGGGTAATGTTGAAGTGCTGTCTAGGATTCCAGGTGCCAGAAGGCTGCAACATGCTTTATGGAGAAAATGTGTTTGATAAGCTTCATTTAGGCATGAATTATAGCGCTGCTGGTCATGAGTTCAGTGTAAATGAGTCAATAGTATACTAAGTGAACTAAGGTGTCTTTAAACAGAAACACACATCAAACAAGGGTATGTACTGACTGGTCACAGGAAATATTGTGATCCGAGACTCACAGGAACTTTACCCTGAACTTCCCCATGATTCAATATTTGTTAGAACAGCATCTGCAGTGATTTTATAAGAAACAACTACTGAAAGTAATGAGAATTAACGGTTATTGACAATCTCTGGAAAGACAGACATTCTCAGCTGAGGCAAAACATGCTTCTCTATTTAAGAGGGTCTCTTAAAAATTTTTCAAAGCACGAGCAGGATCAGGACTGGCGTGAGACAAGCAGGGCACGTGAGCACTTGTGGGGTCCCATGAGTGGGTGCCTATTTCAGTTCCGTTTCCTAGGCATTTTCCCAGTCCCCTCCGTGAGAGGCAGGATTTGTCAGAATTCAGAAATGGAAGGGTTTCTCTACCGTATGTCAGGTTAACTCCTACTTATCCCAGCTCTGTGGTCACCTCTGCAAAGCTTTCCCTGACCTCAGACTCTGGGTGAATGTTTTGTCCTTTCTATCCCATGCCATCAAGTCCAGCTCTGCAGAAGGATTTCTTTCATTATGTTCTGTCTCCTTGTTAGAAGGCAAATCCTTAGAAGGTAAAAATTCTATTCTACTCCAAATGCTCAGGGTCTAGCATATTTGCCATCCAACAGATATCAACTAAATTCATGTTAAATTAAAAGTTTGTCTTTTTTTTTTCCCCCTTAATTCACACATTCCAGTTTGGCAAAATCTTCACTAAACATGAGATGTGACGGATGACAAGGTACCGCCTTCCTTAGTACAACCTGGTTCCTAACTCAGCAGCTGAAAACACATTAGTTCTTTTGGAATATTTGGTCTATCAGGATAATGTTGAACTTAAAGTTCACAAGTCCGTTTACATACATAGCCTGAGAAAATAGACACTGAGAATCTTGGCCAACTCACCGTCTTATTGTTTTACGAGCAAGCAGTCTGTTGCCCCGAAGGTCAGGGCCTAGAGAAGGCAGGGGAGCAGGTATGGCACACCCAAACCTGTCCAGTTGGTTTAGCTTCAATACAGGGGAGGCAGCTCCCCAATCTCCTGGCCCTGCATACCTGGGTCTCAGGTACGCTAAGTGGTGTCTATGGTTATGCTGGTTGCCAAGACTTTGCCACCACTCTCAATGGCCAAAACCTAACATGCTAAGCATCCCACAGACTGCAACCATAGTCTAGAAAGAGACCCTCTAGTGACCTTGAGAGGACTTACGTCCTCGTAGGTATGAACAATGCTCTTATATAACAACTGGGCTGAGTCTTCTGGCCATTCACATATAACTGAGGATTCTGTCTGGCTTGGCTTTCTTTAGAGCACTTCCTAAAAGAAATTGCAGTCAAGTCTGTAATTGTTTTACTGTCTAATCTGTGAGCTCCTTCTGACAAAATCTCAGTCTTGGCCACAGGATGGTACAGTCACACTGTCTAGGGTAACTTTATCATTCTTAAACAATGAACGGCAACTTAGCTGTAAATATTTGGGTAAGAAAAATTATATTAGAGGAGGTGCTTTGACTGGGTAAGTTTTAAGTAGAGGGGCCTGCACTACTGACAGATTCCAAAATAGGGGAGGGGAGGGATCATTTCCTGATTTCTCAAACAATGTTTTCTTCTTGTCTTATCTCCCTAGTCACCATCATCCCTTTCTCAATGTTACAGATAATCAGATGTCACAGATAATTGTCACAGAGAAGGTAAAAATAAAGCAATCGTGAAGACTCAAGGGAGACTCACTGGTAAATATAACAGCTCATCATCTGGGGATCTCCGTTTCTTAATGGATGTCATCTGGATGCCATGTGTGTTCTGACGAAAAGCTGGTGGAGGGAAAATGCAAGTTTCATCCTGGGAACATTTCTGAAGCACTAGTACATTTATTAAACAAGCAGTAGCCTCAGCAAACCTGTGAGATTAGAGTTTCCCATCCTAAGCCTCCATTTCCTTGGTAAGCATTGCATTTACATTGAGTGTATGCCTAACAATGATGAGGTGGGGGGGGGTGGGGAGAAGTAAGCAGAAGAAGGACATGCTGGGAAGCTGGAAGAGAGCCTTTGGCCTACGTGGTGCTGCAGGGATCCCCAAGTCTCACACGCCTGTGACTATGAACAGCTGTTTGAGGAAGGAAGATAAATGGGTTTGGTGTTTTATTTTTCAGATCGTTTATCTTCCAAGAAGGTAAAGGAAGGGGTGTCTTGCCCATGTGTTCAGCTTGTGGGTTCAGCCCTCCTGTAACAATGTATACATCGCTTAACTTCAGACAGCCCATTCCACTTCCAGGCCCTTGGTTTTCCCTCCAGTAAAGTGAGTGGAGGCAGCTCATAAACCCTTTAGGTTTCTAACATGAGGTACTACAGCCGGGATCCAGGATATAGAGAGGATTCTTCTGCCAAAGTTCGGATGATCTGTTCTTACTCAAAGTTATTAATTTGTAGGTAACTGAGGTGCTTAGGGAAGCATATAGAAATGATGCCACTAGACAGACTCAAGAGGAAAATTAGGGTGGATATAAAATTATATACATAGATATGTATTGTATGTTTGTGTGTGTGTATGATAAATCATATGTATACACTTTTTTGAGGAATAATCAGGGAGAGAAGGAGCCTAACAGGAAGGGAAATCATAAGGAACAATGAGAAGTTGATGATGAGTAGCTCTTATAACATTTTGTTGTTCTGTAAAATGCAATACAATTTCTATTTCTTCTGGATACTAACCAGTAGTAAGATAAAAACGTGTTTTCATGAAATAAGTCACAGCGTGGTATACTTTAAAATACTTGTAGTGATAACAGGCTTATGCAAGGTGCCTTCTAGAATCAATTTCTTCTCACAAATTAGATGCATATGTGGGTCAGTAGTTTTCACACTTTGTTACCTGGAGGTCTAGGCCCCTGTACCACATGGGCAAGAGACAGTTGAGAGTCACAGACACCCCTAACTCCTGTCCCCTTCAAATAGCACCATTCTACTTTAATCTATATGCACTGTAGGGGTCTTCTTTGCAATATTTCATTAAAAAAAAAAAAAAAAAACTCTCACTACTTTACAAAGTGAGTTTGAAAACAATAGCCCTAAATCATTAGTCTCATTAATGACGTAACTGAGGCCCCAAGATGGTCATACGTGTCAAAACTCCATGAAACCCAGATCTACATATTCCCCAGATGGTGCTTCATGAAATATATTTGTAAATCTCACTGTTTCCAAGAATTCATAAGGTAGACAGACGCTATTTTCAGCCCTTCCGCGCAATTACAGAAAGATAAACTGGTATCGGGGGCGTATATGCATAGTTTCTGATTCAGCAGGTCTGGGAACTAAGAATTTGCATTTCTACCCAGTGGCAAGATGATGCTGATGCTACTGGTCTGGAAGTCACAGTGTGCGGACCGCTGGACTAAGAAATCCTCACCCGGATGATTTGCTTACGCCAAGCTGTCAGGCACACCTGGGAGTCCCTCCATTATCGGGACAGCCGCTCGCACTGGCTGCGGGATCTCAAGTCATACTTGCCCCTGAAGCCCTGAGGTCTTCCTATGCAGCTTCCCACTACCGCTCCTGGCCCCCACATCTGGAGTCGATTTTGCCCTACCCCGTTTGGCTACTACAGCTACTTACGGCGCTTCGTACCGTCACCGTTCTTTGCGCTGTCCGACACCTGCTGCTTCCTGATGCTGTCTTCATCCGCCTTCCGGTCTCTCCCTGGGCAAGCACAGATCCGGGCCTCAAAGCAGCGTCGGCCCAGGACTTGCCCACTACAAATCAGAGAGGAGGGAGAGAAAGGGTGAAATCGAAAAGAACTGTAAAAATCCCTGGTGTTCTCTCATTTCCATATGCAGTGCCAGCCATCACCCACCCACCATCACCACCGGCTCCCTCATGGCTGCTTTGAGGATGGACCCAGAAGCACTTGGCAGAACACAAAAGGGCTTACATGTCACAAACAATATTAGTAAATAACATTCCATTTGTTCTGCAAAGAACCTCCAAGCCATTAACTGAACAGCTGTATTTAGCTACAGATTTTGAAGGAAAGTTGAGTTAAGCCAGTGGATGTTTCTGGATAAAACCCCCTGAGGCAGCCCAGACTTACTCAAAGAAACTGTTAACTGCCTTGGGAGCCGCATGAAAACAAACACTGTCTAATCAGAAACTATTGCAGTCAAATGTCAGGAATTCAGGTATGAAGTGACTTGCATGCCTTCCCAGTTCTTTTCTTCCCTCCACCTTAATGCACCCTGTTCTGTCTCCACCTTCTTAGATCTTTTATGTCGGTGTTTGCAGCCAGGATTTAAAGCACAAAGGAAAAAAAATCAAGGGTAGCTCTTTGCTGTACATGGGAAGTTAATGATAGAGCAAACACAATTTCACGTTGCCCTCTGCCCACGGTGTTTTGCAGAATGACAATTCTGCATATGCCACTTACTCTCTGGTTTCCAGAGTAACAATGATTAAAATTGGACGGCGGTTCATCCCTCCAACACAACTGCTGTTACACATGAAATTGTACAGGACTGTCGTGAATTCAGTGCCAACCTGAATGCAGGGGGAAAAAGACTCTGGGTTAGCAACTGATGTTCTGATGTTCTTCCTTCTAACTTCTCTCTAGTTAACTAACTCACTTCTGAATGAGGTGATACACTTTTCTCTAGAAAGATAAGCTCTAAAACCCATTGTAGATTTCTCTTTGACTTGTCTCTTGGGAAGCTTAATGTTAATGTTTGCAACACCGGACACTAAATTAGGTGGAAAAGACTTTAAAATATAATACTTTTAAAAAAATAGATTTATTTATTTATTTTAGAGGGAGAGAGAGATAGAGAGAGAAAGAATTCGGGAGGGGCACAGGAAGAGGGAGAGAGAGAGAAGCAGGCTCCCAGCTCAACGCAGAGCCTGACACAGGGCTCCATCTCAGGACCATGAGATCATGACCTGAGCAGAAATCAGGAGTTGGTCTCTTAACTGACTGCGCCACACAAGGGCCCCCAAATCATAAAACTTTTTGATCCTACTGATCTTATTCATTTGCAAGCTAATCCCTATCACCTAATTCAAACAGGGGGAGAAATGAAAAAAATTATCCAAAATAGCAGCAACATCCAGGGATATTTTCCCCATGTGGATAAATTAGGAAAACACAGATTTAAGTGTACAGTTCCATAAATAACACTCTGGAACTAAAATGTCCTCCGGATTAAATCAGCTATTCCAAAGTGGTCATTTATGGGCAAGGCAACTGAAGTTTAGGGAGGCAGAGCCACAAGCGAACTGCCCATACAGCAAATGGGCAAACCATGAGACTGGTTTCACTACTCCAGTGTTCTTAACACAGCACCAGTCTGCTTTCCTAATTTGCCACCTGTTCATCCAAACTTGAGCTAAGAGATCCCCCTCAGAGTCTCCCATTTGTAGGTCACTGGAAATAAATCGGCATCCAGTCCACATCTACTACCAGTTCAATTGCCAGTTAGATTCTCTAGATGAGAAAAGATCTGGTATTTACCCAATTGCAAGTTCAATTATCACAGGCTTTTAAGATGGGAATGTGGGTACAGAGCAATTTCATCAAGTTAACCTAGTACAAATGTAGGAGTTCTGAAGGGGATAGAGAAGCAGTGTGGTAAAGAGGGAGAGGAGAAATACAAAAAGGATTGTATTTCATGACAAACACTGAGGCAGAAAGAGACCCTCAAAACACCCTTTATTACCAAAACATACTCTCCCAAGTCAGCCCAGTCCTTGTCTTTTTACCTGGGGTGGCTCATAAGGTACCAACACACTCTGTCTTCCTGTGATGGGGTCTTCTACGTACTGCGCATGGCTGTTTCCTTCTACTCGAATCAAATGACTGGGAGGGGCAATCTGTCCTGCAGAACAGAGAAAGACAAAATAGTTAGTTCTTTGCCCTCAAAGAAAGAAAGAGAAAGAAAGGGAAAGAAAGAGAGAAGGAAAATGAAGCTGCATGGGCAAAATATTGGTGGCTGAAGAAACGGTTTGTTCAATAGAGGAAACATACATCCTTGAAAAAAGGAAGAGAACTGATTGCCAGATATCTAATGAATGAAGGTGTGACTCTGTAACAACAGAAAGGCCTGGAATGCTCATCTATATTTAAGGGAATAGTCCTTTGTTTCTTGTGCTGAGCGTTAAAAATTCAAGCTTTCCAGGAATTCTATGATTATGTCTCTGCTCTGATACATAGAAGGGATTCTGCTATCTCCCATGGGAAAAAGAAGTAAAAGGAACAAGTTCATAAAAAAAAAAAAAAACAAAAAACAAAAAACAAAAAACAAACCACCACCACCAACAAAAAACAGCAAAAAACAAACAAAAAACCCTAAAACTCCAAAACCCAGCTTGAGAATAGATGCCCCAAAACTGACAAGCAAAAATACTAACAAGAGGTAATAGATGTAGCATTGCCTGTTCTTTTCTCTGCCATAAAGTCTCCATCTTTACACCTGCTTTTTTTTTTTTTTTTTTTTAAAGATCTACACTCAATGTGGGGCTTGAACTCACGACCCTGACATTAAGAGTCACATGCTAAACTGACTGAGCTGGGCAGGAACCTTTGATTTTATACCTGCTTTGGTTATAAAGCTGAGAAGCTTACTAGTTTTCTGGTGCTGAAAAAACTCCAGGTTGAAGGATCAGAAAACGGAAGCTTGCTTTTGAAAGAGCATAGGCCAGATTCACAAAATTGGGATACTTGACAGAGCTCCAAAAGAAAGAAGCTGATCTGAGAATTGGAAGTGGGAGCCATAAAGGTGTTCTTAATCTTTGGGTATATATTATCATTGTATAAAAATTGTTATTCTATGAAAGTCAAAAGTTAAGTATGAAAATGCTCTCTGCAGAATCATTTATTTGGCAACGACTAAAAACAGGTGCTATGTCAAACAGTGAAAAATCAAAACAAAACAAAATATAGTTATATCCTCTTGATGGATCAAGGGTAGTTGTGGAAACCTAAAATGGAGCCTAGCTATAAGGAATCATCTTTAAGGCATATTGTTAAGTGAAAATCAAGATGGAAAGGTATTGAAAATGAGGCTGTGTAGACAAGGACTGGAAATTAATGTGTAAAAAGTAGTTGTGTTATGGTGGGAGGATTTTTACTTTCTCTGTTGAAATTTCTTTCCACTCCCTTTATTCTTCCATTATTCTCTACCATTTATTCCTACATCACACTAGCTACCTACCAATATTTCTTTTTTAAATATATTTTCTATATAAAGTATCCTAATTTCCAAGCCTCCTGCACCCAGATCCCTCTTTTGATGAATACTTATGTGTTCTCTTGTCCTTCATTTCTACTTTCCACTGCTCCTTACTTAACCTCCTTTCATAGAACCTTAGAATATCCAATATAAGAGAACCCTTGGAAATAGTGATCTTATTGTAAAGCTGTTGTTGTATCTGAGGCTCAGAACATGGGGCGTGACTTATCCATAGACACTGAGCTTAAAGGAGGCCCCCAAAATGCCTGCTTCCTGACTCCCAGTCCATGATTTTGCTGTTCCTCATCCAAGCTTATGTCCTATATCTTCTCTTTGCTCCCATTGTCTATTATTTATCTTCATACCTTTTTCTTTTTTTCCCCTCTTTCCTCTTCTGTTTTCTCGTGTTTCTCACCTTTTATGCTCCTTCCAGCTCTTGATTGGTATGGCCTAGACAACCACTCTAGGAAAGGCACTAAAGTTGAAGGTTACCCTCATCTGGGCTGAACGGGTCAGATGTCAGGTTGTCCCTCCTCCACCCTCTCATTTAAAAAAAGAAAAGAGAAAAAGGAAGGAAACAGCAGGGAGTGAAGAGGCAAGTTCAGGTCACCTAGTAATTCCAACATTAATTTATGAATAGTCCAATTGTTATGGAGCCATAAATGTGGTTATCATTATTCTCAGACACTCTGTTAGATGAAGAGGTAGACTGAGCTGTCCTCAGATTGCAGAGTTTAGAACCAGGTAGATGGACCCCAAAGAAAAATCTCCACAGGATCTCTGTTTTTTAGGAGTTTAGCCGAGCAGCCCCAGATCCCAATTCTTACCCTCATTGAATTCACGGCTCAGCTCGTGGTTGGGGCACCGTTTCACCACCTCGGTGACATGCTCAGCTTTCTTGTAGACAGGCATGGCACGGATGACAGCGCCCTGTGGAGGTGGAGTCATCACCTTGATCTGGATGGGACATGTCTTTGCAATTTGGCAGTACAGTTTCTTCAGTTCAGTGGAATACTGCTTAGAGAAGGGCCGATGGTGGTGGGAGGAAAGAACCGACAGGAGATAGTGTTACTTTCCAACTCAGAACAAGGAAACCAGGTCCACTATCTACAGATGCATGTCTACGACCAGCTACTACATAGCTGACAACGACAGCTGGCAATCTTATCAGAAGGAGTAATAGTCACTAATCAAATTAACCATTTCTCCCCCCTTAAATGACATCCTGTCGATAAAAGACTTCACATTTATCAAAACACATTTATGTCATTATTTCCTCTATCTTCTCATTAGGATGAAGAAATTGAGTCTCAGAGGGGTTTAAATAATTCATATCCAAACAGCTTTACAGAAATCCAGAAACTAAGTAGAAAAAAAACCACAATGTTTTCATATTTTGAGTGATATTAAACAGATGATAATTTACCCTGCCGTTATAATACTTTAGAGAGACTCAAAGAAAATAGGATTTATGGGGGGAAAAAAAATTAAGATGGAAAATCTAGCAGAGAGTAAAGAGATTTTACCCGAGGGCAACCAACTAGAAAACTGCAAAGCAAAACTTTTACCAAACTGTTGCCCTTATATTCTCATGCCATAGCCCGAGACGAGAAAGCCGAAAGGGGCCATTTGCTCCTATATGCTCATGAACAGGACTAGCCTATTGTAATGATACAAATCATGATGGCAAAATCCATCAAGATACAGATCTCTTACTCATAAGTGACTGAAACTTTTATTCCCCACACTTCCTTCTGAGGGAGAGGAAATTCAGTGATTCTTTGGTTGGTTGGTTGGTTGGTTGATTGTAGAACTGGCAAAATAGGGGAAGAAAGCATGCGACCTAGAACCAAATAGAAGAAAAAATTCCTTTCCTGTGTTTCTTCCCCTCCCCATCTCTGAACCAATGTAGAAAGTCTCCATTCTAATCCTTATATTCTATTCAACCTTAGCATCCCTGTTCTCTTAGGCCAATACCCAATCCCTGCATTCCTCATTTTGTTGTTGCAGTGAAACCACCAGACACCAGCACTGCCAGCCAAGAGTGGGGCACCGAGTAACACTTACCCAAACAAAGGTACACGCATGTGTGCGCACAGACACACACATGCACACACGCATACACGCATACACACACAGGCTGCAATCCTAAATTGGCCGCCACAGTGCTCCAGGGGAAAGACACTGGGGACCAGGAGTCAGAGTGGCAAAAAGATTTATTAATGATATGTTTCAACCCAACTCTGACTAAAGACAAATGTCTGACTAAAAAGCGCATTTGAAAACGATTGCTTTATTTCTTCCTTTTGAAATATTTAATCTTTCATCCCAAACATTTTAGTATATGAAATTTTCAGTTAAAAGTTTCCTAATGCAAGAAGTGTGTTGCATAACCATGCCCACAGGTCAAGGATTAGACACAAAAAACGGGTTTTATATCGCTTGAGAAAACAGGGAGCATGCCAAAAATCGACCACAAAAATAAAACTCTACTCGGGAAATACTGAATGAAACTAGAACAGTACTTTTGTGCTGTGTTTTTAACCAATGACTTTACAAACAAAGACACTGCTTTAAGACATGTTAAGAACTCACTTTTACTGAGAATTCTCAGAACATAAGCATAGCCATTTGTGTTTTAGTTTGGAGATATATAACCTAAGCATGAGTTTCATAAGATTCACCTCAGGAAAAATGACTGAAAAATAAGTTTGTCACCTGAAGACAAATAAGACCCCTACCCAAGTAGGTAAAGATTAAAGAAGAACGAGGAGGAGGAGCAGGAGAAGTGTTCAGAGTAAGACAGTTCAAAGAAAAAAAAATACACATCTTTTTTCAATAACTGATATACTATCAGTCAAACTGGACAGACTAAAATGTAAAAGCACTAAAAACAAACAGAAGTTTCATCAGTTGGTACCCTCACTCGTTCTGAGGGATGGGAGAGGGGACTCTCATTTCTGAGTCTAAATAAATAATAATGGTTTTACCTTTTCCTGAGTTCTGCTGTCAGAAATGGAATCCTCACACAACCCCATGGTGAAAGTATTACAGGGATAAAGTCTCTCTCTCGCTTTTTTTAAGATTTTTATTTATTTGACAGAGAACACAAGTAGGCAGAGAGGCAGGCAGAGAGAGAGAGAGGAAGGGAAGAAGGCTCCCTGCTGAGCAGAGAGCCCGATGCGGGGCTCAATCCCAGGACCCTGGGATCATGACCTGAGCCAAAGGCAGAGGCTTTAACCCACTGAGCCACCCAGGCGCCCCAAGGATAAAGTCTCTTATCTGAAACCCTTGGGGCCAGATATTTTAGAATCCAGAATAATTTTGATTTATAACTTGGAGGAGAGCTCATATAACATATATTATAAACACTTCCAGCAGGATTTAGGTCAATACCCCATAATCAAATGTTAATGTTTCTTCAGAATTCATGACTATTCATACCAACTGGGAAATGACTATAGAGCTTCAAAGTTCAGGCCAGATTTCACTACCAAATGAGGCTGTCACAAACTTCATGAAATCCAAACCAAACCAAACCAACTTTTAGTTTTCAGGGCTCTTTGGATCTCAGAATTGCAGATAACAGATAATGAATCAGCATTATTATCCCCATTTTATAGATAAGAAAGCTGAGGCCTACAGAGGACTTGCCTGAGGTCACAGAGAAGAGCTAGTTAGCAACCAGTATAGGAGAGTCCTAATCCCAGCCCTGTAACAAGAGTCCCTTGTCTTGATCTCTCTTGGCTCAGCAGTGCAAATCTGTGTACTTTTACCTTTCTCTAATTCCCAACAGCATGGCTCTACTCTGAAGCAAATTCAAAGGTATTCAATCTTCTCTAACATTAAAACAAGCTCGTAAGTGGTTGACTCACCATCAACAATTCCTCTTTATTTAATTCTCAATGTAATAATGTTTCCTTATTTAATTGCAGAGAGCAACAGCGCGTGCTAGAACTGAAAAAATCCCAGACTGGGAGGAAACCAACCTTAGAGTCTAGTACCAGCCGTCTGTCAGTACTCTTGGTTACAGTTCAGGGTAAGCCGTGCACGAGGCCCTGATCTTTCCCATGGTTTGTTAAGGCCCTCTGTGATCTGACCCCATCTCTCTCTCCTACCCTCCCCTCACCCTCCCAACACACTCACTTCCCACCGCATATTCTACCCATGTGAACCTCTTACGCCTCCAACACACGATACGTGAATCACCCACGATTCGATCGTGCCATTCCCCATCTGGAATGGCTCTTCCTCTGTTCTCCTCACCAAGCCCAGACAATTCAGATACCCCCCTGGGCTAGGACTGCATCTGGTACTGTAGACCACATTTTCCAATTTTAAGGATGAAAGTTTCATACTGACTGAATCAAAGTATCTGACCAGGGCCAAGATCCATTTTGATTATTGCTTCTGGTGAGACTACCAGGCCTGCTGCTCAGTAATTAGAGGGACCCACATGGCCAGGTGCGCTTGGTTCTTTACAAAACCCAGCTTCTGCTACTTCATTTCCCTTACTGGTCACAAGTTCGGTCTGTGCTGATGTTTGATATTTTTCCAGCACTAAATTCAGGTTCCCTGGCCTATGGTGTATTCGTAATTCTTTTGAACTTCCCCACGTCCCTTATCCTCTACCAAGTGGCCACTATTATCTCCACCAAGTTTCCAGTCTTCTGCAGGATCACAAAAGAATGGCAATCTGAGATTTTATTTATTTATTTATTTTTAAAGATTTATTTATTTATTTATTTATTTATCTGACAGACAGAGATCCCAAGTAGGCAGAGAGGCAGGCAGAGAGAGAGGAGGAAGCAGGCTCCCCGCTGAGCAGAAAGCCTGATGCGGGGCTCTATCCCAGGACCCTGAGATCATGACCTGAGCCAAAGGCAGAAGCTTTAACCCACTGAGCCACCCAGGCGCCCCTTAAGCTGAGATTTTAGAATACTCTGGTAATTCGAGTTGGCACAGGGTGAAAAGCGGAATGCATCTGGCTCCTTTTAATCTCTCTCTCTCTCTCTCTCTCTGGGACTTCCAAAATCTCTCTCTAACCTGCTCCCAACATTGACTTGAGATTTTTTAAAATCTATGGTATATTTTTTTTTGGGGGGGGGCATGTGTTAACTTCCTCCCCAGTCCAGTCATCAAAATTATTTTTTGCCTCTTCTATAACCAATCCTCTTCCTGACCCTTTCTTAGGCAACCATTTACCAGCTTTTTTCTCACCACCCTGCTTCACAGTCTTAAAGAAACGGAACGATACAGTGTATAATCTTACATGCCTGGCTGCTTTCATTTCACATAATGCTTTGGAGGTTCATCCATGTTTTTGCATGTATTAGTATTCCATTTATGATTTAGTAGAATTCCATCATTTATCGACGCGTCAGTTATTTCCAGTCCGCACTTACTGTGAATAAGACTCTCGGGGACGTTCATATATAAATCTGAGTGAGGACACCTGTTTTCATTTTTCCAGATAGGGACCTCGAAGTGTGATTGCTCAGGAAATGTATGCTTAACTTTATAAGCGACTGCCAAGCCTTTTTACAAAGAGGTGCACCACTTTACATTGCTACCAGCAATGTACGTTCACAGCCTTGTCAGCACCTGCTATTGTCAGTTTTAATGCCATCCTAGCAGGCATGTAATGGTTCTCACTGTGGTTTAAATTAGCATTTCCCTGATGTTTAATGATGTGTAGTACCTTTTCATATACTTATTTCATGTTCATCAATTATATTTTACATAATAAAAATTAAAAATATAAGTATATTTATATTTCATACAAATAAACATTAATATATTTATAATCAAATGCATTAAAATATGAATATATTTAGGGGCGCCTGGGTGGCTCAGTGGGTTAAAGCCTCTGCCTTCGGCTCAGGTCATGATCCCAGGGTCCTGGGATCGAGCCCCGCATCGGGCTCTCTGCTCAGCGGGGAGCCTGCTTCCTCCTCTCTCTCTGCCTGTCTCTCTACCTACTTGTGATCTCTGTCAAATGAATAAATAAAAAA